GCCTCCAGTTCAACCAATAAACAGCAGGACCTGCTCCTGATTGGAGGAGGGCAGCGTACTCGGCATGTGGGTAGCAGAGTTGGGATTGGTGGAAGAGGACTATAAAGGAGGAGAGAGACAACATGCACCAGGAACATCTATCTGAAGGAACACCTGTGCAGCCCCCGAGAGAGCCGGCCGGCGGTGTGCCGCTCCCCCGCGGAAGTGGGGAAAGTGGCAGGGGGAATCACTCTTTCCACGGAGGTGGAAGGGACGGTAGCCAACCCGGGAAGAACCAGCAGCAAACCCGGGGAGGGCCGAGCAGACGAAAGAACAGCGCAGGGTCCTGTGTCGTTCCTCCACGAAGACGGGGAGCGACATAATGGTGCCGTGACTCGGATATGAAGCCTAGGCAGGGTCTAGTGTCGTTACTCCGTGAAGAGGGGGAGCGACACTTAGCACCTTAAGAGATTTTCTTAATGTCTGGTCTCAATGGAGGAATGTCTACATAGCAAGTAGGGAGGTGATAAAGAAGTTGTATTATTTGAAACATTCTAAGGTTGAAAAAGTTCAAGTTATCACTAAGTATCCCTATTTCATAGATAAGGAAATGTAGGGTAATAGAGAATATAACGGCTTTGTTTTGGGTAAAACATGGAAGAGGACTGGTGTCAGAGTATGCTGACAGTAGATGTCTTTCCCTGAAATAGGGTCAATATAGGTCATCCAAGTTTATGTCTTTGTAGTGATTCTCCCTGCCCCCCAACCCTCTCCCATCCGCATCTCTCACTGTGTGTTCAAAAATAAATAGAGGACCCACAATGGCATGCACCCTGCTTGGGCACGAGGTGGTCTGCTGCTACAGATGGTGGTGCAAAGGAAACAGCAGTGGGGCCAGGTGATAGGAGACTGTGAAGGGTGAGAAAAGAGGACCGCTCAATCTCAACTCTTCTTTTTTATTTTATTTATTTATTTATTTTTTATTTTTTTATTTTTGACAGGCAGAGTGGGCAGTGAGAGAGACAGAGAGAAAGGTCTTCCTTTTGCCGTTGGTTCACCCTCCAATGGCCGCTGCGGCCGGCGTACCACGCTGATCTGATGGCAGGAGCCAGGTGCTTATCCTGGTCTCCCATGGGGTGCAGGGCCCAAGCACTTGGGCCATCCTCCACTGCACTCCCTGGCCACAGCAGAGAGCTGGCCTGGAAGAGGGGCAACCGGGACAGAATCCGGCACCCCGACTGGGACTAGAACCCGGTGTGCCGGCGCTGCAAGGCGGAGGATTAGCCTAGTGAGCCACGGCGCCGGCCTCGACTCTTCTTTTAACTTCTCCATCAAGGAGCACAACCTTCAAATGAAAAGGAATAGAACAAACATTGCTAAGGAAGAATCAAATCCCCAGAAAGGCTCGGGGTGTAACACAGAGAACCTTGATACTCTAGAAAAGTCAAGGTCTCAGGTTCAGCAAACCACTGGAGCTCTGAAAGAACGTGTGTTGCTGCTTACCAAGAGGTTGTCCTGCGTCTAGGACCAAAAATATCTTCTACCCATGCTCAGGAAGAGGGAGAACTACTTCACTCGGGCACACGAGGGAAAAGCAGGTGTGGTAAGCTGACAGCAAGCTGAATATGAATCAGGCGTATAATAAGAGACGTCGGAATGACTTATGCAATCTTTGGCTGTGCTGCTTTTCGTATGATGCAGAGACGAAGAAAGTTTCGTCCCATTCTGCTTACTTCTGGCATTTTAAGTACAACATTGATAAACGGGAATGTGCTCAAAGGAGATTAATTGCTGGAGTACTGGAGGACAATGCCCCAGGAGGAACACATGCTAGCTGTGTCACTCATCACGGGCACAGACAAGTCTGAGCCATGAGGCTGGGGCCCAACAGCTGCCTTCCAACATTTCAAGGCTTGGAAAGTACGAGTCAAGGGACTTCTTCTGCATAGCTACAGAGGACAAAATCGAGAACCGTATTTAGAAAATACAGGGAAAGAAATGCCATTCAACACAGGAAATCTAGCAGTATCCTGGATTTACATGATGTTGTATAATCCACAAGAATTCTCACGGGCATCACTTTTTAGGATGAACTCCCAGGCAGAGTGTGACAGACATGTCATGAATCACACTAGACTAGAAGAACTTGGACTGTGAATCAGCCTAGAGGTGCTTCCAAGACAGCTTCTAAATTGAGGGGAACACAAGCAATAGAACTTTCCATTCATCCTTGTCTGTCTCACTTTGTACTTTTCAAGGAGGAGAAAAGTGAATAGAGGAGACTTTGTTCACCATATGGGGAACTAGTTGAGTTAGGCATCTCCACCCTTCACGTAACTCAAGGGGATATTGTCTGCCTCGTTCTGACTGGGACTTTCTGCATTGAGTAGGAAGATGGGCCGCATGAGCTTGAGGTCCTGTCTAACAATTCTGTGAAAGCAGTGTTCGGCTCTATGATCAGCTTGGAGGAAGTGGTTTTCACTCTCGGGGCCTCAATTATCTTTCCTATTACTTGAGCGTAATGGACTCTGTGATCTTTAAGATTTTTAAAGAACTCATATTCTGCAATTATAAAATTTTATGAAAGCTTTGTGGAATTATAAAAGCTTTGTGGAATTATAAAAGCTTTGTGGAAATGTCATTCTTCCACATTCTATCAAAAAATAATTGATCCTAAGTTCTGCTCCTGGGGAGATCATGATAGAATACACTTTCTGAATCTTTCCAAAACTCCTCCGGAAAACCAAATAGAAAGTTAGCAGAGTGTGAGAAAGTATGAAAAGTCTTCAAAAAAAGTTCATGCAAATGCATATTATGAAAAAACTATGCATGGATTTCAACCTTTTTGCACCAAAACAATTTCTTAATTCCATTTCCCCATGAACTTTCTGCAAACTCTTTATATGTATGAACTGTGTATTTTAAAATGTTAGGTGGAAGCCCCTCTGAACCCTAGAGTATGGGTAGCATATAGCAATGGTATCTACAGCTATGATGTGGAAGTGGCAATTGAACATGGCAGGGAGATTGGGTGGTTCAGATGATGAGAGGTAGGAGAGATAGGGAAAGGCAATGATGAGCTCAAGGGAAAACCTGTGACAAGTAATATATGCTGTGGAACCCAAGATCACCTAAACGTCCCTTTGAGAGAAGATGGACTTAACCTAGCATGAAAATCTGTTTGGGCAAGCCTGAGAGTACCTGTGAAGCTAAAAGTTGTTAAGTGCATGATTTGCAGGTGATAACTAACAAAAGCTTGCACATTGCATCGCCAGGAGAGCCAGCAGTGCTGGAACAGAGCAAACCCTGGTGATGTCCTGAAGATCCAGCCAACCTCTCTTTACAGAAATGCCGAGTCTGATCCCAAGGGAAAAATTGCCAGAAGCAGGTGAATTGAGCAGGGCAGTCACCCTGGACAGTGGAGGTGGTGGATTCGTCGGCTTTTCATGACTATGACAGAGTACCTGAGACAGGCTGCTGGGGTTTGGGGATTAGCTTGTGAATCTCCAAAAGGTGCATGATTAATGACTTGGTCCCCGAGTGGCACTACTGGGAGGTGGTGGAATCTTTAGGAGGTGGGGCCTGGTGGGAGGTGCTTCCGTCACTGGGGACATGTCCTCAGAGAGGATGGTGGAACCCTGATCTCTCTTTCTCTGACTTCCTGTTTGGTGATGTAAGCTCTCCACCATGCACATGCCCCTGCTGTGATACAGCTGCAGCAGGGAAGCTGTCAGAACTGGACCAATGCACGTGTCTTGCCCTTGAACTTCCAAAACTGTGTTAAGTAAACATTTTCTCTTTATAAAATTAACTTCTGTAGGTATTTCATTATAGCAATGTAAAGCGGGCCAACAATCTAAAGCATTATAAAGTAAAGAGGTTTATTTAGCTCCCAGTTCAGGAGGTTCAAGGGCATGGTCCCTTCGTCAGCTCAGCTTTCATAAGGATCTCTTGGCTGATGGCAGTGACAGGAGCAAGAGATCACGTTGCTAGCCAGGAAGCCAGTGAGGAACTATAGGCCCACAGCTGCTTCCAAAGCCATGCTCCCGGCTGACCTGAGGACCTCCCCAGAGGCTCCTTGTCTCAGTGGCCCCACCTCATACTGAGGACCAAGCCTGCAACACATGAAACTGCAAGGGACGAACCACACCCAGACCACTGCAGATGCTAAGGGCTTCGAAGAGAGGCTGCTGAGTCCAAAGGCATCAGATCCCAGGAAGTAGGATAACCACAGAGGGAACGAAAAGGAGAGCCCTGGGAAACACAGGGCTAAGGCGGCACGCCTCCCTGGCCAGGCTTAGGACCAGCAGACAGGTGGGAAGTATTCTGAGTCCTTCCCAATAACCAGAGAAGAGGAAGTGTGGGCTTGAAAGCTGAGAGAGCTGATCTAGTTCACCCTCTGGCCCCATCGACCCCCGGAACACCCTCTCAATAGTGCAGGAAAAGTCATCTCATTTAAACATGGAGGCACAGACATGGTATAGACTGATATAATACAAAGTTATTATAAGAAAACGAGCTAACAATGAAACAAACAACCCTAGGGATAACACAGAAAAATGTGGACACGAAGCAGACGGTAACTGTAACATGCCAGTGCAAAACGAGAGAAAAGAAATTAAGGAGACAATAGACGCTGAAAGAGTAATATAAATCAGAAGTAGAAGAGACCGTAAAACAGCCAGTGGCTAGGAACTGAGGAATCACAGAACTCCGGAAAGAGTTATTAAAAAAAATAACAATAGCAACTTAGAACTCAAACATGTAGGAGTACCTGGGAGAAAATACAGTATGGAAAATACACTGTGAAAACCGGAAGACAGAAAAGGAAATCAAACAGAAATAAGAGAAAGGGATTTCAGAGAAAATGAGAGCTAAGAAGACAGGCAAAGATAATTTCTAAAAATAATGAAAAGTACAAAAAAGGGCCTAACAAAGAAGTCCCTGCTGCAAGAAAACCAGAGCTAAACCTGCATCAGGAAGGTTCCTGAAGACGCTTCCCCATCTGCACATTGATTTACCTGGAGCATCGGCCCCTCCCAGTCAGCACCCAGGGACTCCCAGGGAAACGACTGCACTTGCAGATCCGGAAGACACACCCTTCAGCATTTAGACAAGGGCTCACCCACTGTAAGGGGGAATCAGACTGGAGTCTGACTTCTCAACGGCGACATTTTCCGTTAGAAAGCAGGAGAAATATCTTTAAAGACTCGAAGATGACAGGAGTCCAGGTTCTTCTGAGCTGCCGCAGAATAAAGAGTGGGAGATCGCACCCCGGGGGATCTCAGGGGATGGCGCTCGCCCGGCGCCTCCCGAAAAGCTGCTTCAGACAAGCAGGGAATCATCCAGAAGCTTCATTGATGTTCTCGGGGGTGAGCACGAATATATTTACCTGTGGAGTAATGACTCACAATGGGAGAAAAGGGGAGTAATGTTGATGACATGCTCTGACGATATCAAGTGATGAAACTAACAAAGCTGGAAAGGAAGCAAGCGAGCGAGTGAGGACTCGGACGCACGAGGTGGGCGTGAGAGGATACCAGTGGAGGCTGACGTTAGAAGTGGCTGAGCTTGGGCTTCCTTTTTTTTTTTTTAAGATTTATTTTGTTTTATTTGAAAAACAGAGCTACAAAGAGAAGTAGAGACAGAGAGAGAGGTCTTCCATCCGCTGATTCACTCCCCAGATGGCCACAATGGCTGGAGCTGTGCTGATCCAGAGCCAGGAGCCTCCTCCGGGTCTCCCACGTGGGTGCAGGGGCCCAAGCACTTGGCCCATCTTCCACTGCTTTCCCAGATAGCAGAGCGCTGGATTGGAAGAGGAGCAGCAGGGACTAGAACCGGCGCCCATATGGGATGCTGGTGCTTCAGGCCAGGGCTTTAACCCACTACACCACAGCGCCGGTCCTGAGCTTCCTTAAAATGTATCATGACTGCTAGCGACAAGCTGGGGAGTGGAGGGAGAGAGGGGAGAGGACCCACAGAAAAAGTAAACAGCTAAAAATGAAAACACCACAAGATTACAGAAATGATTATTAGTTGAGATAATTATAAAGTAATTGCCAGAACATAAATGAAAACCTTTGTAAATATCAAAAGAAACAAATATAAGACAAATCACAAAGCAAAGGGATTTAGAACTATATTGTGGGGGCCAGCACTGTGGCTCACTTGGTTAATCCTCTGCCTGAGGCACCGGCATCCCATATGGGCACCAGTTCTAGTCCTGGTTGCTCCTCTTCCAGTCCAGCTCTCTGCTGTGGCCCAGGAGGGCAGTGGAGGGTGGCCCAAGTGCTTGGGCCCCTGCACCCACATGGGAGACCAGGAAGAAGCTCCTGGCTCCTGGCTTCGGACTGGCGCAGCGCCGGCCGTAGCAGCCATTTGGGGGACAGAACCAATGAAAGGAAGACCTTTCTTTCTCTCTCACTGTCTATAACTCTACCTGTCAAATAAAAAAAATTTAAAAGAGTGTATTGTGTCTGTGTACAGACATCAAAAGTTACAGATATACAGTTTGGTTCACATATGGAATTAGCATTTTTGTAGGTCATAAACAATACACTATTGGCAATTTCACACAGTTTAACAAAGAACTAACTTCTAAAACAATCTGGAATAAATGGGAGAAAATATTGGTTATATCAATAAATGTGAATGGACTTATTTATAAAAGAAAAAAATTTCACAGCTTGACAAAAACAAAATCCAACTCCAGGCTATTACATAAGACATACAGGAAAAAACTGTGACTCAGAGAGGCTAATAATAGAGATAGAGAAGCACCAGTCAAGTAAAACAGCAAGCAGCGGACGTGAACTGAGCGTCAGAAAAAGATATAACCGTGCCAACCAACGTGGAAGGAGATGAAGGCCACTTTATAAATCTAAAGAGCACATGGCGGACGGCACCGCGGCTCACTAGGCTAATCCTCCGCCTTGCGGCCCCGGCACACCGGGTTCTAGTCCCGGTCGGGTTGCCCCTCTTCCAGGCCAGCTCTCTGCTGTGGCCAGGGAGTGCAGTGGAGGATGGCCCAAGTGCTTGGGCCCTGCACCCCATGGGAGACCAGGAAAAGCACCTGGCTCCTGCCTTCAGATCAGCATGGTGCGCCGGCTGCAGCACGCCAGCCGTGGCGGCCATTGGAGGGTGAACCAATGGCAAAGGAAGACCTTTCTCTCTGTCTCTCTCTCTCTCTCACTATCCACTCTGCCTGTCAAAAAACAAAACAAAACAAAAAACCCAAAAAAACAACAAACAAACAAACAAACAAAAAAAACAAAGACAAAGGTATTTAATAAGTGTTGAGAATAAGAACCGTGGAGCACACTTTTGACCTAGTGGTTAAGACATGGGTTAGGAAGCCACATCTCATGTTGCAGTACGTGAACTCAGTTCCTGGTTCTGGCTCCTGATTCTGCTAGCTTCCTGCTAATGGAGACCATGGGAGGCACTGATGATGGCGCAAACATTTTGGCTTCTGTCACCCAGCTGGGAGATCTGGATTGAGTTCCTAGTTCCTGGCTTCTACTCAGCCCAGCCCAGGCCATTGCAAAATTTGGATAGTGAGCTAGCTAACAGTGGCTCTCTCTGCATCTGTCTCTGTCTCCCTCTCTCTCCCTTTAAATGAATAAATAAATAAATAAATGTAAATTGAGTTTCGGTTAAGTTGGGATGAAAAATATTAGCATCAATAAAACTTACAAAAAGAAATCAATGAGGTATAGATACAGCTGCATATTAAACTCTGAATAAAAAGAATGTACATGTATATAAAAGGTTATGCTTTCTTTTGAAGTGTATTTGTGCCACTTATAGACATTTACCATATATTAATACACAGAAAAAAACAGTTAATTTCTGAAAATAGAAATAATAAACCAGGTTTTTAAACCAAAAATGCAGTTAAATCAGAAATGATCAAAACTGGTTTTTTGTGTGTGTGATTACATTGTCTGCCTTTTAAAAAAGGAGGGAGAGAGAGAGAGTGAATGTTCCTGTTCATTGGTTTACTCCCCGCAGTTGGTGTTGGGCATTTGGAGTAAGGAGTCAGAAACTCAGAGTCTCTCAAGTGAGTGGCAAGAGCCCAGTCATTGCAACCATCACTGCTGCCTCCTCCTGGCTAAGCTAGCAGGAAGCTGGAGTCAGGAGCCAGGGCTGGAGAACGAACCCAGCCGCTCTAGCGTGGGAGGTGGGCGTCGTAACTGATGTCTTAACAGCTGGACCAAATGCCTGTTCTAAACCCTTCATTAAGAATCTTGGCTGGATGGCCAGTGCCACGGCTCACTAGGCTAATCCTCTGCCTGCGGCTCCAGCACCCAGGGTTCTAGTCCCAGTTGGGGCACCGGTTCTGTCCGGGTTGCTCCTCTTCCAGGCCAGCTCTCTGCTGTGGCCTGGGAAGGCAGTGGAGGATGGCCCAGGTGCTTGGGCCCTGCACCCGCATGGGAGACCAGGAGGAAGTGCCTGGTTCCTGGCTTCGGATTGGCACAGCGCACCAGCCATAGCGGCCACTTGGAGGGTGAACCAACGGAAGGAAGGCCTTTCTCTCTGTATCTCTCTATCTCTAATTCTGCCTGTCAAAAAAAAAAAAAAAAATCTTGGCAGGGAGGGGCGGCGCTGTGCCATAGAGAGTGAGGACACCGCCTGCAGTGCTGGCATCCCGGCATCCCATATGGGTGCTGGTACGAGTCCCGGCTGCTCCACTTCCCATCCAGTTCTCTGCTATGGCCTGGGAAGGCAGTAGAAGATGGCCCAAGGTCTTGGGCCCCTGCATCTGTGTGGGAGACCCCGGGGGCAGCTCCTGGCTCCTGCCTTTGGATTGGCCCAGCTCTGGCCATTGTGGCCATGAAAGTCAACCAGTGGATCTCTACCTATCTCTTAGTCTCTGGCTCTCTGTATCTCTTTAATTTATTAATTAAATAAATCTTTAAAGAAAAATCTTGGGTGACAGATAAAAAATTATAGAATTTATAGAAACATATGTATTTATAATAAGGAAAATATTACATAATTTGAAAACTCAAAGATAACTAGTCAAAAAACTGCTACAGACAATAACAGAAGTTAGCAAAATATTAGTAGCACAATCGCTACTAACAGAAATTAATAATGTTGTTAAACATAAACCATAACTAGTTAGAGATTTTAATAGAGAAGGCAACTCTATAATAACAACCACCACCACAAATAACTAGGCATGAACTTAACACAATGTGCAAAACTTATATCTAGAAAACTTTCATTCCTTTTTAAAATATATAAAAGTACATATGAAGTATTTTATCTATTTAAAAGGAGGGGGCTGCGGAGAGTGAGTGAGTTCTCCCATCTGCTAGCTTACTCCTGAGATGCCCCAACAGGTGGGGTGCCCTGGGCCAAGCCAGAAGCCAGGAGTTGGGAATTCAAGGCAGGTCTCCCACATGAGTGGCAGAGAGCCAGCACTTCTTGCTCCCAGGGTGTGCATAGGAGGGAAGCTGGAATCAGGAGTGGAGCTGGGAAATGAACCAGGCACCATGTTATGGGACGTGGAAACTCCAATCAGGGTGTTCCCTATGGTACCAAAACCCTGTCCTTTGCCCTCACTTTTTAATTGGGTAAATTGATGCTGGATGAGGTAGAGTTTTGCCCAACATCATGAAGCTAATAAAATTCCGATGAAACCAGAATTTTGACTTTGAATTCTTGGCTTCTAGAATAATTAGTGGCTCATTTTCCACCTTTGAGGATATTCTAAACTGGATCACTTGATTTTGCTTCTAGAATCTTTTCCTCAGGAAACCGTGTCTTCCTCCCTATCCAAGACCATCAAAATTCTACCCATCTTTCATGGTGTGGATATTAACTTCTTGATCCCTGGATATGTATCTGCAATTTTTCTCTCCTTTGGGCCAGCAGAGGATTTCCTATGTGTTTCAGAGAACTTGGGTTCTGTTATTCTATGTCTGTCTGTCTTAATGCAGAGCCTGTATCTTACTCACCTTTCTGAACCTTCCAAGTTGCAAGAACAGTGACACACAGTAGGGATAATCCTTATTTTTTTTTTTTAAGATTTATTTATTTACTCGAGAGGCATAGTTACAGACAGACAGAGGAAGAGACAGAGAAAGAGTCTTCCATCCGCTGGTTCACTCCCCAATTGGCTGCAACGGCTGGAGCTGAGCCGATCTGAAGCCAGGAGCCAGGAGCTTCCTCGAGGTCTCCCACGTGGGTGCAGGGGCCCAAGGTGTTGGGCCATCTTCTACTGCTTTCCCAGGCCACAGCAGAAAGTTGCATTGGAAATGGAGCAGCTGGGACTTGAACCAGTGCCCATATGGGATGCTGGCACTACAGGCGGCCACTTTACCCACTATG